CCCCCCCCCCCCGCTGGTTGGAGTTTTGCTTCATAGTACCTGATAGCTTAGTGTTTATGTCTAGCTTACTAAGTTAATAGGCTATTTGCCCATCTGTCCTCTGCTAGAATATGCTGGAAGGAAGAAACCTTGTCTACTGTATTTACCAGTCTCTCTAGTAGCTACAGTAGTGACCAGCAGAATAAATGCTATTGAAGAGACTCTGGGTGTCTTGCTACACACCTGCAATCCTAGCATTTGGGAGGCTGAGGCGGAAGGATCATGGAAAGGTCATGGCCAGCCTAAGCTTACATAGTGTGACCCTGTCTCAAAAAAAGGTACTGAAAGAAAAGGGAAAGGAAGGAAGGAAAGGAAAAAGAGAAGAGGGAGGATGAGAAAGAAAACTGGGTGGGGGGAGAAAGGAAGAGTTTAGAGTCAGAAAGAAGAATGCCTCAATTCTGCCTTGCCAGTTAACCCCTTCCCAGAGAAGACTGCATGAGAGGTTCAAGGAACAAATAGGGAATAAGCACAATTACTTTATTTCTAGCCGGGATAGTGCCTGATATTTTGATACAGAACATTCTGGTAAAAATGGGGTAGAGGTTGCTGCCCACACCCTAAGCAACACCTCTGCTCTACCACAAAGCCCAAGTCAAATTTCAAGGTCTCTGCCATTCTCTGCTGAGCACATGACCAGTGATACATGGTCTGAGATTCTTCTTATACCATTTGAGAAGCCTGTGGGCAGGCCACCTTAGAAAAGGAAGTCACTAGCCCTGGACTGCATGGCTTCATGAAAAAGGGTGAGAAAGAGAACCCAGCCAATACATTTGGCCTTTAAAAGCACATGAAAATGAAGGGCTAGGGATTTAGCTCAGTGGTTCCGCAGCAGCTTTCCTCAAAGGCGCAAGGGCCCAAGTTCAATACCAAATCCCCCCCCCCCAATTGCTTTTGCTGCAGCACTCAGGAGGCTGAGGCAGGAGGATCGCTGTGAGTTCAAGACCAACCTGCATTACATAGTGAGCTCCAGGTCAGTCTCAACTACACAGTGAGACCCTGTCTGAAAAAACAAACAAACAAAAGCACTTGAAAATGTAACCAGTCAGATGAGTATCCTCTTCCAGAGAAGATGCGGGAGGGCTCCTAGGGTGGGAAGTAAAGCTGAGAGTGCCCTGTCCCCCAGGGACCAATTACTATCCTCCTTTAAGACCTGCCTCACCTTTCATATTCCTCATTTTGTCAGTCCCCCCATATGCTGCCCAAGCCAGAAACCTGGGCACAACAAAGTTTCCCTGTTTGTATGTGTGCGTGGGTGTGTGTGTATGTTTGTGTAGTGCTGGGGATTGAATTCAGTCCTGTGTGTGCTAGGCAAGCACTCTTTAATACTGAGAGAAATCCCTGCCACTCATTTCCTAATTTTATTTTGAGACAAGATCTTGCTGAATTGCCTAGGCTAGCCTCAAACTTCAGTCTTCCTGCCTCAGCCTCCTGAAAAGCTGAGATTACAGGCATGAACCACTATACCCAGCTACAGAATTTTCCTATTCTTTAGTTCCCATGTTTGCATTGATTTTACTTCCTAAGAGGGTTTTACATCTATCCCTACTGGTTTAGCCCTGCTCTAGTTCAGGCCCCAGTCACTTCTGGTTTCCTAAACAGCTTTCTCCCTATGTCCCTATCTTTATTTTTAGCCCCATCACAAACATCCTGCACTTTTTTTTTTTTTTTTTCTTTTTTGGTACTGGGGATTAAACTTGGGACCTTGAGCTTTCAAGGCAGGTGGCAGAACCACTGAGCTAAATCCCTGGCCCTCATCCTGCACTTTGGCCAGAGTGATCATCCTGAGTGATCCCCATTTGGTCATCTCCTGCCCTGCTGCCAACTTTGCCCTAGGGGTGCCCTACGGGTAAGATTCATACTCTGTGAGCCAGTATAAAGCAGGCTGGCATGATCAGCCTGCCCATTTTCCCAGCTCTCCCTTCCCCACCCGTGTCTCTCTCTCTCTCTCTCTCTCTCTCTCTCTCTCTCTCTCTCTCTCTCTCTCTTCTCTCATCTCTTCTCTCCTGCCCACTCTGGGGGGATGGTTTGAGACATGATCTCACTATGTAATTCAGGCTGGACTTGAACTCCTTGTGTAGCCCAGGCTGGCCTCAAACTCGTGATCCTCCTGCCTCAGCCTTCAGAGTTCTGGGACTATAGGCATGTATTACCATGCCCACCTCCCCAGCATATTTTTTTTTTCAATAAAGACTAGCTAAGTTTCCTAAGGTAAGCTCAAACTTGCAATCCTTCTGCCTTATCCTCCCAGAATGCAGGAATTATAGGTCTGCGCCACCATGCCTACCTCTGACCAGAGTATATTTTAGTGTATGTGCTGCTGAAGTGAGCACTGAGCAGAGTACATTTAATGAAAACATGAACAGCAAAACATATTCAACGCATCTGTCTTATTATTGGTTTTTAGTGCTTATGATAAGGTCTTTTTTTGCAGGCAGACAAGCTATTAAAGGCTTTGAAAACCCACCTTAAACAGGAAGCAAAAAAAGAAAATATGAATCAGGTGAGTAATATTTTTTATCATTACTTATAGTAAAATAACCATGTCTGGTTAATGAACATTTTTTTGTGGAACTGGGGATGGAACTCAGGACGTTGTGCTTGCAAGGCAGGTGGCGGCCCAACTGAGCTAAATCCCTGGCCCCACTCTCATTTCTTTACTTCATCTCGGAAAATTCAAATTCCCTTTTTCAAAATGGAAATTGTATGTACTCTGCTGAATCACAAATCGGGGTTGTTGTGGCTGCTTGAGAACCACACCACGAACTTGATAAAGTATGACACACAAATGGAGCCGTGGGCAAGATTCCTGGCTTGAAATTGAGGCAAATGTTGCAAGCCCTTAGAACTTTGGGGAATTGGAGAGATTGGTTATGTATCTGGAAATGAAGATAAATATGAATGTGAGCTAAGAGTCAGACTTTGCCCTGCCTTCGCAGTCTCTGTAGCTCCATATTCTACGTTATAGACATTTCAGAACTTTGGGGAAGAGCACTGACATATGCAAGGCTTTGGGCTCCATTCCCGGTACTGCTAAATAAATTAATCTTCCACATTTGCAGTGCTGAGGCTCAAACCCATAGCCTTGCACATGCTAGCCTAGCACTCTACCCTGACCTCTACCCCATTGCTCAAAGCTAGAATTCAAGAGCCAGGCATGGTGGTGCACACCTGTAATCCCAGCCCTTGGGAGGCTGAGACAGAAGGGTTGCTGCGAGTTTGAGGCCAATCTGAACCACAGAGTGAGACCCTGTCTCAAAAAAAAGCTAAAATTCAAAATTAATTCTTGGTGCTGAGCTCCTAGCATTCACAGAGTCCTGAGTTCAATTCCCATCCCTGCCAAAACATCTAGTTTTTAAAAATTTCTATATCAATTAAAATTACTACACATCTTCCTCCTCCCCAGTGACTAAAGATTCATGACTGTAGATTTGCAGATTCCACTTTGGGGGTAGGGGATGTAGTTCAGGGGTAGCATGTATTAGATCTTGGTTAGATCCCCAGCACTACAAAAAACAAGCGAAAGATTTTACATTGGGTAGTAATAGTTAGATTCAATTTAAAATGATGTATTATTTCAAATTCAGCATCTGGAACTATTCCATTCTGAGCAGGACAATAATAAAAGTTCAGTTAGGTGTGGGATTCCTAAGTGATAACTCTGGTAATGATCTTTGATGGGTGGCGTGATATAGAACACTCTTGGGTAAGTCAAGAGCATTAAGGGAATCTAGGATTACCAAAACAAATTAGCCAAGGCCAAATTTATGGAAAAGACATCATTAATCTTACCCAGGACAGATATGTGTGACCTTTGGGATCTCCAGATCATTGCCTGGGGAGTGCCTGGCCGCAGCTTTGTTTGGGTGGAGCCACATGAGCGCAGAGGCCTCCTCTGGCTGTAGACCGGCTTTACGTCCACCAGTTAGAACCTGTCTGGATGTATGTTCCTATGTGGGCTGTGTGGGCCTCTGCTGTCCCGACTCAGACAAGTGAGTCGGAGGGCACACACTGCTCCCGCTGGCCTCAGGCTGACACGCCGCAGGGAGGTACGTGGGATTAAAGCACGACCCCTGGGGAGCGTGTCATTGGTGTTGGAGGACCTGTCCTAGTATGCGCCACCTGTGCTGAGGTGGGGTGGGGTAAGGATGGGAAGTCATTTAAAAGTGTCCTTATATATATATATCCCAACATTATGGAGACTCTTACCACAACAAGTGTTCGTTCTTTTACTTTTTTCCCTAGAAAGTGGGGTCCAGAGAGCATCTTTCCACTCTTGAGAAAATTGTCACTCCTCTGAAATTTTGCTCACCTCTTCCCATCCTCCATCTGTTGATCTCCTAGCTGTTTTCTGGGTTCCCCATGCAATCTTTTTTTTTTTTTTTGAGATGGGGGTCTTGCTAGGTAGCCCAGGCTGGCTTTGAACTCACAGCGATCCTCCTGCCTCGATCTCCCAAGTGCTGGGATTCCAGGTGTGTGCCACCACCTTGTCTGGAAGAGCTCAGCGGTCCTTGATGATGTCTCCTTACCTCTGCGCCCCTTAACTCCAGGCCCTTCATTAGTCACCCATTTCCCAGGGCTTCTCCTGGGCCTTGCACTGCATGGGACCCTCCCACATCTACAGTACTTCACTTCCGTCTGAACCCTTCTACATTTATTATTTTACTCACAATGTATTTGTTTTGTGTTGTAGTTCTCAACTGTATTTCCCCGAAAGTCAGACTTGACTGGAAAATAAGCCCTGATTTTCCAGGATTCTTATAAAACCTCTCCCAAAAATAAGCCCCAGTTAAGATCGTCAGCCAGATGGATGCATTTAGTACATGCACTTATGACAGATGTATTGAATTATAAAATAATAATATACAATTAAGTATAAAGAAAGAATATTAATACTTAAAATAAGTGATAGCATAAATCATAATTAAATATTGGTAAAGGCCCAAGCAGGTGTGATTAGAATTATTGCTGAGTGACCAGCTGGGGCACAGACCACACACATGCAACTTGATAATGGATGGATGTGGCTGTGTCTAATATGACTTTATAATTCAATATGTTGTGTGCTGTAACACATATTTAATGCACTCGTGAAATAAATGTTTTCTGATTTTTTTTTTTTTTTTTTTTTTTTGAGACAAGGCTTCACTGTATGCTCAAGGCTGGCCTTGAAGTCACTACATAGCACAGGCTGGCCTCAAACTTGCATCAGTCCTCCTTCCTCAGCCTTCTAAGTGCTGGGATTACATGTGTGCATAACCACACCAGGCAGTTTTCTGAATTTTGATGCCTGCAATTTTTCGTTGCTTTTATGTGGACCGTCATTTTCCCCCGCCTTTGGTACTGGGGATCAAACTTAGGACTTTGCACTTGCCAAGCAGGTGTGGTGCCACTGCTGAGCTAAATCCCCAGCCCTAAAACCATCATTGTTTGTTTTTTGGTACTGGGGATCAAACTCAGGACCTTGTGCTTGGGAAGCAGGCGGCAGAACCACTGAGCTAAATCCCTGGCCCATGGACCATCACTTTTGTTTGTTTGATTTTCGGTTTTTTGATTGATATAGGGTCTCACTGTGTAGTGGAGACTGACCTGGCACTTACTATGTAGCCTGGGCAGTCTTGAACTCACAGCGATCCTCCTGTCTCAGCCTCCTGAGTCCTGGGATTACAGGTGTGCGCCACCACACCCGGCTGGACCATCATTCTTCTTTGTTTTTGTTTGGTTTTGGTTTGTCTTTTTTTGGTACGGGGATTGAACTCGAGTCCTTGTGCTTACGAGACAGGTGGTGGAACCACTGAGCTAAATCCCCAACCCCTGGACCGTCATTCTTAATGTCATCATTTTTGTTGCTACTCTTGTCTCTTAACTCTTCACTTAACACCTGCTCTTATGGGAACTCTGTGAAGCCCAGCCTACTGGAGGTCATGACTTGGATGCAGAATTCATGGGATAAAATCACTGACGGCTGTGTTGTCACTGCACTAGGAGCAGGCTACATGGATCGGAAGTGCTCGTTTGAGGAGGGCTGTGTTGCTGGACATGAGAGAGTAGGGCCAATGGCTTGACAGGAAATGGAGTCCTAAGAAACTCAGGCTGAATTCGGGGTTTGGAGAGTTATGACGATGTTCCCGAAGATGACATGACTGTTTTTGAATAAATGCAGGTTTTTGTACATGAATAAATACAGATTGTTGTAAATGAATAAGTATAGATTATTACGCATGAAAAAAATAAGACATCCCCTGAAAGTAAAAGCCCTATTGTGTCTTTTGGATGCAAAATTTATTTAAGAACTGGTTATTTTTGGGAAAATCTGGCTTATGGGAGAATCATTTGAAGAGCTTTAAAAAATAAGATGCATAGACCTCACCAAACCCTAGATCAACTAACTAGATTGTCAGGGGATGGAGCCCACATGAGATGGACTGAATGTCAAGACCGAAAGCAGCCTCCCCCTTCCATGAGCACAGTACCCTCTGAAGTCTTGGAAGATTTCTGTGGAAGGAAATTAAATGGCTGGATCTCAACCGAGGCAAATTAGTGATTTAGTGAGACTCTGTTTCAAAATTTTATAAAAAGCCATGGGGGTGTGGCTCAGTGTGAAGGCCCTGAGGTCAGGCCCCAGTACTAGGGATAAAAAAGGGTGATGGCACACACCACAAACCCCAGCACTTGGGAGGCTGAGGCAGAAGGATCATTGTAAGTCTGGTCGATATGGCTAATTCAATGCCTGTCAAGACTACATAGCAAGACCTGTCTCAGAAAATGAAAAAAGAAACACAGCTGTGAATCTATTTAACTAATAGTGAGTGAAGTAGTAAAAATTTTAGCACATTACAGGCACTGAGCTATGGAGAATGTCTATGAATGTGCCAACAAAAAATACATAATGATATATAAATAGCCATTTGAACTAAGCCTTAAAAAGAACAATTACTGGGCTAGGGATGTAGCTCAGTGGTGCCACCACCTGCCTTGCAAGCTCAAGGGCCTGAGTTCAATTCCCAGTAAACACACACACACACACACACACACACACACACACACACACAAAGCTATTATACTTTTCACTGTAATCTATTCTTTAGCATTTGGGGTTGTTTGGTCATTTAGGGTTTTTTGTTTGTTTTGCATTTTTGTGTTAGGGATCAAACCCGGGGCATTGCATATGTATTTGAGGTTTTGTTTTTGGGTTTTTTTTTTTTTTTTTTTGATACAATTTATTTGGGTTTTTCTTTTTTTTTTATTTGTTTTTTGACAGGGTCTCACTGTGTAGTTCAGACTGCCCTGCTCACTGTGTAGCCCAGGCTGGTCTTGAACTCACAGCGATCCTCCTGCCTCAGACTCCTGAGTGCTGGGATCACAGGCGTGCACTGCTACGCCCAGCTTGAGTTTACTTTTAAAAACTAGAGTTTACTTATGAAAAATACAAATATCAAAATCAAGTCTTCGGTTTTTAGGATGCTTAGAAGGCCTTCAGAGTTAGAATAATGCCCGTTTTTACTTTTTCCTAATGCTTTTCTAGTTTTACATTTTTTTTAATTGAGTTTATTGGTACAATCTAGGTATACAATACAATTTCATTCATCATTGGGATTCTGTACCTTTACATAATAGGTCTTGATTCTCATTTTTTCGCCTTGTCCCTGCCCTCCCTTCACCCCCTCCTCCCCTTCCCATTTACAAACACTTTATTTCCATTTTTTCAGTTTCTCATATATTTTTCCTCTCCCTTATTACCTTTCCCCCACCCTTCTCACTTTCCCTACACCTTTAGCCCTTTTCTTCCTATTTTACATTATTAATTATCTCATTAGGATCCTGTGTACTATTAATAGTTTTTTGCACCAAAGAAACTATTCGGTATTTCAGTTAAAGAAATCTCTGTATGAACATTAAAAATAGGGAATCCTAAAATAAAACTAAAAAGGAAAGTAAGAGAGAAAAGGCAATGATGTAACATTAAAATAATCCTTAATTCTGGAGATGAAAATGGTCCTCGAACATATTTAAATTGCTTCTTGCTCTTATAGTCTTATTCTTTTTTTCATTATTTAGAGAATATTTTATTAGTTTCTGTAATCAAACCCACGTAGATATGACCTTACATATTTAGTATGATGTGTTACCCCTATACACATGGAAAAAAAATAAAAATAATAAAAATAAATTAACATTTCTAGACCAGTATGGCTGCCCATTTCTGTACTATGCCAACTCAACACAGTAAATTGGGATGACTTTTTCCAAAGTTGGCAGCACCGTTAAAGTTTCCCAAAATTCAATATATATGTGTGTATACATACGTACATATTTATATTTATATAAAAAGACTAATAATAGTATGTTATACATCGATAGCAGCAACAGCTTTTCCAGGTTCTGCAGTCATCTGAACAAAATTATAGAAATTCAGCACATTCCATTAAAAACAAAACAACAACAACAAAAAAAAAAACCCAAAGAAAAGAAAAATATCCAGAAAACAGCAAAGTTCTGTTGCTGTTGTGGTACCTGGGACCATTTCTTTTTTTATTAGCATCTTAATCATCATCTGGAAAGAGAACATTCTAGAGTAATATCATTAAATGTAGCTCTGATAAAGCACGGTCCCTACTATGTATCATAAAGCAGGTACTAGATATTTTACATTCATTGAGGTATGATACAGTACTGTCCTACATCAATAGTACTAGATTCAGTTTTGGTTTGAAATTTACTTTGTCTGCAAATAAGATAGCTACCCCTGTTTTTTTCTGGGCTGCTGTCACATGGAGAATTGTTTTCTATCTTTTCACTTTCAGGCTATGGGCTTCTTTTTGCACTAGGTGTGTTTCTTGTATACAACATATTATTGGATTTTGCTTCTTATTCCATTTTGCCAGTCTATTTCTCTTGATTGGTGAGTTGAGGCCATTGGCATTGCTGCTTATAACTGATATGTACTGACTTATTATTGACATGTTATTGGCCTTTTGTTGACTCTTTTTACTGGGGGACCTTCTCCTTTTAATTTCTTGCCTTGCCTATTTGATTTGCTCCGTTGGGCCTCATGGTGTTGTTGCCTTCATTGTCTTGTTCTAGGATCTTGTTTAGAATTCCTTGTAGTGCTGGTTTGGTATTTGTGTAGTTTCTCAGGTGTTCTTTGTCATGGAAGTGTCTTATTTCCCCATCCATTTTGAAAGAGAGCTTTGCTGGATACATCAGTCTAGGTTGGAGGTTGTTTTCTTTTAGTACTTGAAATATCTCATTCCAGGCTCTCCTTGCCCCAAGGGTTTGTGTTGAAAAGTCTGCTGTGATTCTGATGGGCTTTCCTTTGTATGTGATTTATTTCTTTTCTCTTACCGCTTGTAGTATTTTGTTCTTCTGTTGGGTTTCTGGGATCTTTATTATTATATGTCTAGGTGTAGATTTTTTTTGCTTGTAGCTAGTTGGGGTCCTATATTGCCTCAGTTATCTGAATGTCAAATTCTTCCCCTCTGTTTGGGAAGTTTTCTGTCATTAATTCTGCAAACAGCTTTTTAAAGTCATTTGTATTTTCTCCTGCTACTTCATGTATTCCTATCAGTCTTATGTTATTCTTCTTTGCATCATCTAGGAGTTGTTGGATCGATTTCTTGTGATCCCTTACTGTTTTTAAGAGACCTCTCTTTTCACGGTCACTGGCTGCAATCTTATCTTCTATATCTGAGAGTCTATCTTCGCATTCTTTTATTCTGTTGCGTAAACTTTCAATAGAGTGTTTAATCTCCTGGATATCTGTTTGAATCTGTTTTATGGATTCCATTTCTTTCCTATGTTGGGCGTTTATTTTTTCCATTTCTTTCTTATGCTGGGCCTTCATGGCTTCTATCATGGTCCTGAGCTCATCTATTTTTTTGTCAGTTTCTGCTCTAGAGTCTCGAATCACGACTTCCATTTTGCTCACTATCTCTGTGGTTATCTGGGAAATTATTTCTGTTTTGAATTTTTCTAGAGCCTGATTGATCTGTTTTGTTACTTCCTGTGCTTTGAGTTCAGGGTGTCCTGGTGGTTCACTATCAGCCTTTTCATCCTTATTTTCCCTACTGTTTGCCATTGGTAAACTGGAAGTCTGTCCTTGTGTCTTGCTTAAGTGTTTTCTCATTTTTATTTTTGTTGTCGGACAGTCCTTGGTTTAATCTCTGGATTATCACCCAAATCTTCCTGATATAGTTGCGCCCTAGCTTCTGTGTCTCTAATGACCCACAGACATTCTCATCTTCATAAAATCAGAGAAGACAGCTCATCAAATCAACCGCAATGCTTTACCCCAACTGATACAATCAGCACCACATTAAGATCAAGCACAACTTGGACACTGACCACCTGTGGTAGTCACTAGTCTATTACCCTTAAATCATTTGAATTAAATTGAAATCAAGAAGCAGTCCAGAACATGTCTACAGTGAACAAAATTTCAATATAGTGTATTTACCATTTAATGGCTCAGACAGAGCGAGGATGCAAGACCCCTGATCTCAGTTAGCTGATGGCTGACCCCCATGATGCTGACTGACCTCAGGCTGCAAGGACCAGATTGAGTTCCCCAACCTTCTGAATGGTTGAACTCCACAACGTTCTATTACAGGTTTCCCACGCCCTTTCTTTAAAGATGTTCAAAGTTGGGAACTCAGAAAAATACCCCTGATGACCACCTCTGCCTCTGCAGAGTGGGTCCAAAGACTGGCACAGTCAGGAGGTCTGAGAGTGTAGGGGGCGCTTATGGAGGTTCAGGGGCGCCTTCCTGGTGCTTGAGCGATGGCGGCTGGGTCGGGAGCAGGCGTGGCTCTTCTCTAGTTTTACATTTAAATCTTTCGTCTGTCAGATTTTCTTTTCGTGTGAGAGAATGGCCAAGCTTTCTTCTCACCAAGAATATAAAAAAACATAGCTAATTAGCATTGTGTGTTGAATAATGAGCACTGCCTTCCTCACTAAGGGCAGCTGTTATCAGTGACTTCTTATATAAACAGGTCTGTTTGGGATTTTTATTTTTTATTTTGACATAGGGTTACACTAATATACTAAATTGAACAGGCTATGCTTGACTTTGCAATCCTCCTGCCTCAGCCTTCCCGAGTGCGGGGTTTGTTGGCCATTCTGCCATGGCCAGCTTGTAACATGATTTTCATCCTGTTTAAATTCTGGTTCTTTCTGAGCATCATAACTCTGTGTAGGACATGGTGCATTTATGTCTCTCTTTAGGATGAAAGTCGAGGTCTTACACTGTCCTGTGACGAGACTGAGGTACAGATTAACAGTGAGGACCATATCACCAAAACAAGGCGGCGGTGCCAGACAGCCCAGGGGAGCCCTGCCTTCCAGGTAAATGGGACTGGCACTCTGAACAAAAGCTACCATCTGGGACAGAACTGGCACCTTCTCAGCTGGCTTCGCTTGTTGGTCTCACTGTGACGCTGGGTTTTGGAAGAGTACTGTGTGCTACAATATCCAGAAGGAACAGACATGTTGTGCCTGGTTACTCTGTCTGGGCCTGGGTACTGGGGAAACACTAAGTATTCAGTGTAAATTAAATACTTGTTGAGTGAATGTGTATGTTCACTAAACATCGGTAAGTAAATAAAGAGAGAACAACCAACACAGAATGTGGTTTTAAAATTTTTTTATCAGTACATATTTGTGGTACATAATGTTTACATTCATTGTAGGGAGTAGATACATAATGTACTCAACATATCTTGATTCTTTTTATTTCCCTTGCATTCCCCTCCCTCCACCTCTAGATCCTTTCCTCATTTACAAAAGAGTGGTTTTAAAGTTCTGTTTCTGGGCTGGAGATTTAGCTCAGTGGTTCTGGTGCCTGCCTTGCAAGCTCAAGGGACCAGGTTTGATCCCCAGTACAAAACAAAAATTAAAATTCTGTTTCTGCTTGGCATAGTGATACACACCTGTAATCTCAAAACTCAGGAGGATGAGGCAGGAAGATTGCTGCAATTTTCAGGCCAGTCTAAACTGCATAGCCAAATCTTGTCTCAAAAATAAAAAGTTCTTGTTGGCCATGGTGGTGCACGACTGTGATCTCAGCACTCAGGAAGCTGAGGCAGAAGGATCACTGTGAGTTCAAGACCAGCCTGGGTTACATAGTGAGTTCCACGGCAGTCTGAACTACATAGACCCTGTCTCAAAAAACCAAAAGAAAAAAAAATAAATAAAAAAAGTTCTCCTTTTTGGCCTGGGCCAGTCCTTAGTCTTTCATTGGTGTGGTAATGTGACTGGGCTTCTGCACTTCATTTTGGGCAGTCTCATGCACGTGTAACTTTTACCAGGCATAGTCCTAATGTCTTACTTTGTCACCTCTTATCCTTTGGTCAGCAGACTACCTAGGTCTTGTATCAGAGGTAAGAGAAGGAAGCTTTCCATTTGTTCCAATGATCCTGAGCATGTTTTTTTCCCAAATTCACATTCTCATGACACTAGGTGAGGCTGAGAATGAAAGCCACTACTCTGAAGTCTTACTCTTATTTTTTTTTCTTCCTCCTCGTTTTGTTACCTGTCTTTAGAAGGAAGTGATTACTTCATATTTTTTATTACATTATTTATTTCCTTTATTTAATTTAGCAGGATCATTCTGAAGTAAGCCTAAGTCATCTCACCAAATTGCAGAATCAAGAAGGGCAGGAAAACTGGGATCTCAGAACTACTGGAAAAATTCCTCCTCTACCAGACAAGAGCCATGGCGAGGAGCATGCAGTTTCCTCAGGAAAGAATGAAATAAATGGTATGTCAAGACTTTAAAGTCTCAGCCAAGGTGGCAGCAAGCCCCTGGTGCCTTTCCTGCCTCTTCTGCCTGCTAGGGCTGTTGCTACCTGGCGGTCCTTGGCCTGCAGCGCACCACTCCGATCTCTGCCTTTGTCATCATGTTACCTTCAAGATCAGCCTGGACTACATAGGGAGGCGCTGTATCAGAAAAAGGGAAGACAGGGGCTGGGGACTTAGCTCCATGGTTCCGCTGCCTGCCTTGAAAGCACAAGGACCTGAGTTTGATTCCTGGTACAAAACAAAAGGGGAAGACAGAAAGAGTGTCAGCAGGGCCAGGGATTTAGTCAGTGGTTCTGCTGTCTGCTTTGCAAGCAGAAGGTCCTGAGTTGGATCCCTGGTACCAAAAAAAAAAAAAAAAAAAAAAAAAAAAAAAAGAGTGGTGGCTGGAAACCACAGGGACATTAATCCTTCCTTGATGACAGGAGAGCCTTCATTTTTGTCTCATTAGCCCTCTGGCCAATTGCAGAGGATGGGACTCTGCTGAGTTATTTTTTCTTTTCTTTTCTTTTTTCTTTTTTTTTTTTTAGTGGGAGAAGTTGTTTGTGAAATCTAGGGATGGAACCCAGGGCTAGCCACACATTTATGGGTCTGTCTACCTCTCTGCTATTCCCCCATCCTAGTTTAACCCCCACCCCTCCTGGTCATTTTGATTCATGTGTCTCAATGAGTGTGTGTGTGTGTATGTGTGTGTGTGATACAGGGGATTGAACCCAGGGCCTTGACACTGAGCTACATCCCCAGCTTTTTTCAGCTTTAATTGAGTTTATTGGTACATTTTAGGGATACAGTACAGTTACATCCATTGTTGGGATCTTGTACCTCTACGTGACAAGTCTTGATTCTCATTTTTTTCCCTTGTTCCTGCCCTCCCTTCACCCCCGCTCCCCATCTGCAAACACTTTATTTCCATCTTTTCACTATCTCACATTTTTTTCTTTTCCCTTATTACCCTTCCCCTACCCATTCCCCAGCTCTTTTTTATTTTTTAATTTTGAGACAGGGTCTCATTAAGTAACTAAGTTGCCCAGGCTGTGCTTGAACTTGCAAACCTCCTGCCTCAGCCTGTCAAGAGTGCTGGGATTCCAGGTGTGCAGCACCATGCCTGGCATAGACCCATTTTTAAAGTGTGATTTAAAGCAAGATGCAATATGACAGTTGGCAGTGAAGATCTCTAGGACTTAATTTCTCTTCCTTGGATAAAAGGGTGGGCCGGTCAGTCAGGTTCATCCCTTGAGACACAGGTAGTTTGGAAGATTAAATTAAACCATATAATTTCTTGGAGAAGAAATGAACTTTTTATTAATTTCAGAGCAAGAAAAAAGTTGCAAGATTACCAAGAGTTCCTGTGTATGTATATCTTATCCAGATAGCCTGGTTTTCCAAATAAGGCTTTGCCTTATCCTTTTCTCTAGTCTATTAATGTGTGTGTGTACTGTATGGTGTATAGGGGTATTTTTCCTGAACTCTTTGATGTGTGTATGTGCCCCTTTCCTCATGATTGTCTGTCTTTATGCCCAGACTGGGGATTGAACCCATGGTCTCACACATGCTGGGTAAATACTCTACCATTGTGCTATGCCATAGCAATAGCACCCAGCTTGTAGAATTTGTTTTGTTTTGTTTTGGGGGTGGAACTCAGGACCTTGTGCTTATAAGGCAGGCACAGCACCACGGAGCTAAATCCCCAACAGCACTTTTTAAGTTTTATTTTGAGACAGACTCTTGCTAAATTCCCCTGACTGGCCTTGAATTTGAAATTCTACTATTTCATCTTCTTGAGTTATTGGAATTACAGGTGTGCACCACTGGGCTCAGCTAAATGTGTTTTCTTAAACAAGAGTTTTCTTACATAAATGTAGAGAGTATAGAACGTTTCATTGGTATTTATTTCACAGTAAACCCCATAACTAAGCTTTTTAATTTTTTCTTTTTTTGTGTGTATATTCAGATAAAGGTGTATTAGGCATTGAACCCAGGGCCCTCAAACTGAGCTACATCTCCAACCTGGTTTTTTGTTTGTTTGCTTCTTTTGTGGTACCAGGGTTCTAACTCAGGCCCTTGTGCTTGCAAAGCAGGCAGTGGAAACACTGAGCCAAATCCCTGGCCCTCCAACCTGTTTTTTAAATTTAAATTTAAATTTTTTTGTACTGGGGATTGAACTCAGGTCCTTGCGCTTGCAAGGCAGCCCACTGAACCACTGAGCTAAAATAAATCCCCGGCCCAAACCTGTTTTTTTTTTTGTTTGTTTTTTTTTGATAACAAGACCTCCTCAAGTCACCATGTTGTCCAGCCTGGGCTCAAACTTAAAATCTTCCTGTTTTAGCCTCCTAGAGTGCTAAGATTTCAGGTGTACCACCATTTCCAATTTCCAAAAAATTTCTTAATGAGAATTAAAAAAAATATTTTCATTATTCAAGTCAACAAAGCTTAATGAGCTGGGTATGGGGGCACACACCTGCAATCCCACCCCTCAGGAGGCTGAGGCAGGAGGATTGCTGAGAGTTAAAGACCAACCTAAACTATATAGCAAGACCATGCCTCAAAACAAAAAAACCTTAATGGAAAAATATTCATTAGTTCTGTATCTTTGGCTTTAGATAATGAAGATTCAAAGGAACCTTCAAAAAGAAATTTTCAGTATACAGAAGGGATTTGCAAACTTGGGAATAGGAAAAGAACCGCAGCCACTACTCCAAGTAAGTCTTACACACAAAAAAACACGAGGTCGTGGCTGGCCCACTTCAGACTAGTGTGGGAAAGTCCATGGAGGGTAGCAGCAGAAAGCTCAGGCTAGAACCAAGGCTTACCTTCTACTGCTCTGTTTTGAGCTTTGAGATCTTAGGCAACTTATTCTCAATACTCTAGCTTCCTCAGTGTAAATGACTGTACTACCTATTTCATCAGGTTGATAAGCAGATTGAGAGTCTCTTTTCTGTCACATTACCTAGCACAGCCAATAGCAGGTACCAGGCTGTCAGCAAATATCTGATGTGTAAATGTCTACAAAGTATTTGACACAGACAGTGCCCACCATGTACTAAGTTTCTAATGAATCTAAAGGACTCAATTTTTGTATATGTAAGTTTTATTGCTTGTATAAAGGTGGAACAATGCATGGTACATTCAGTGTTGACTTGTGTGTGGGGGTGTGTGTGTGTGTGTATGTATTTTTTTGGTACTGGGGATCGAACTCGGGCCCTGTGTATTTTTAGTTGTTAGAATACTTATCATATATTAGAAATGTTTATATAAATAGCATAAAGTAGTGGTCAGCAAACTCCTCCCCACCCACCTTGGTTAGTCTTATATCTCTTGAGCTAACTTTCCACACTTTTAAATCATTTAAAAGATGAGACAGGGCTGGGGATTTAACTCAAAGGTTCTGCCGCCTGCCTCACAAGTGCAAGGACCCGAGTTTGTTGTAAGTATTATAAAGTACCAAATTTGAGGAACTAGGGGTTGTGTCTTAGTCATAGAAATATGTGCTTAGCATATAAGAGCCTTGGCTTCAATCCCCAGCACTACCCCCCATCAAATTTGTGATGATTAAATGAAAGCTATTAACTGGTCAGTAGGACAGGACAATCTCTTAGTCTTCTTCAGACTAAACCAAGCTGACAGGGAAATGGACACTGGGGAAATGGTGAATGTTTAACAATCTACAGGATAAATACCTTTGCCACGAATGTCTAAAAACTATCTGCTTTGAAATTAAAGTTTTAGGAACTAGATAGTAAAGTTGAATGTCAGGCCATGGTGGCACATGCCTATAATCCCAGCACTCAGGAAGCTGAGGCAGGAAGATTGCTGCAAGTTTTGAGGCTAGCTTGTGCTACATAGTGAGTTCAGGGCCAGCATGAACTACCCAGCAAGACTCTTTTCTCAAAAAACAAAACAAAACAAAAACCCAAAAATAAGTAAATAAAATTTAAAAATAAAGTTGAATGTCAGGGATGAAAAAATGTGAACAGAAAAATTCAGGAAGGTGACTGACTGGATTTTGTCTTAATTTTCAAATTTTGGGGAAATATTCTAGACTTTAAAAAGCTCCACGAGGCTCATTTTAAGGAAATGGAGTCCATTGATGAATATATTAAGAGAAGAAAGAAACACCACTCATCTCATGAAGTGAAGGTACGCAGATAAAATTCATGTTCTTAGTGGGGCTAAGTCATTTGGTATTAATTTTGAAGCCATGGAATACCCCAGTTAGTACAGCCAGCTGTGTGTGATTCTCCCCGAGGGATCGTTTGGTTTGGATTTAACATCTGTAGCTTGAAATTGTTAAAACTCTCAGGATGAAATGAAGTACCCTCGCCACAAGAAGGCAATTCCAAGTGGCCACAAGTTCTCTTTTTGCTGACATTGTGCCCATGATGCATCAAGGAGGGACTGAGTATGGCAGGAGTTGTCGTCCTTCCTGTCCATCACTAGGGGACTGTGGGGTGATTCACAGTGGCTCCTGAAGGGCATCTGTGGTAATGCCTCCCTAGGGTCTGTGGGCAAGGCCCTGCTGGGCTCAGCACCCTCTCCTGTAAGCGGAGGGGATGCAGGCAGCCTGGAGGTTGAGTTCCAGTAGTGGGTTGATGCGTCCTAGGAAGTTGATGTACTGGCATCTGGGGTTAAGAGGGTACCCAATAGAGCGCTGAGAAACGTTTGGTTTGGACTTTAATAATATAGAATACCTTATTTGTCAAAAAAGCATTTAAGGCAGTTTGTGGTATTTAAATATAACAGGAAACACTATGAAATCCATTCAAAAGTGGCATAGAAGCTGGGTATCGTGGGACACAATTGTAATTCCAGCACTTGAGAAGCTAAGGCAGGAGGATCTGCCAGTTTGAGGCCAGCTGAGTTGTGAGTTGGGAGGCCAGATTGATAGCGTGGTTGCTTTTAAAGTACAGCATATAAGCTTTTTTTGGTGAGAAGCTTAATTAAAAGAACAAATGTTCTTTTCAACTCAACAGTATTTATAAAATCAATCACTGTTACTTAAAGATACCATCAACTTGCTGACAGCAACAAAGCCAAGCCATGCTGTTCAATGTCTCTGTGCCTTCATCACTAATTTAACAGCATGGATGGGGAGGGGAACCCAAAGGTATTCAGTGTGTCCATAGTTAGGGTGTCTGACGTATTAAGAAGGGCTAAGTATCGTTACATCCAGGGTCAAATACTGGCACAAGAGGGTCAAAAGCACAGCCACTCTTCCTGCATAGGTGCCTGAGTACCAGGAAGTGGATTTGTTAAGTCCTTGATGGACAGTCAAGTGTTCCTTATTATGTGATAGGGAGGACTTAATTTTCCAGGTAAAGGTAAGACCAGTACAACTGCTTAAATCACAAAAAATTTTCATTAGCACATATCTGCGATACTTACCTGTAGCGACAGGGTTTTTTGAGACAGGGTCACACTATGTAGCCCACGCCAGCCTTGAAATTGCGGTGATCCTTCTGCCTCAGTCTCTCAAGTGCTGGGATCACAGGTGTGACCACCACACCTGGCCCTCATTTATTCTTTGGCCTTGACAGTATCTAAAAATGATAAGCTAAGTGCAGCCCTTCACAGCTGTGTCAATGTGAGCATTTCTTTCCCTCTCATTTTGTTTGTTTGAGCCAGGGTCTCACTGTGTAGTTGAGACTGACCTGGAACTCACTATGTAGCCCAGGCTGGTCTCAAACTCACAGCAGTTCTCCTGCTTCAGCCTCCCGAGTGCTGGGATTGCAGGTGTGTGCCACCACGCCTGGCCCCTCTCGTTTTTTATGGGGAGGGAAGTATTTTTAAGAACTTTAAAATGCTATTGCACAGGAGTGGGTGGGGCAAGGGAGTAGGCAGAATCATTTGTAGATTCTGCATGCTCAATCCGTAGTAGGTTCTTTAAGTTAATATTTTAAAATTGTGTATCACATCACACCCTCAGAGGTCCCACGACTACAGCTACAAGGGGCCATTTGGCCACATTCTTTCTAGTTAGAAGATACTTGGGTCTGTGGCACACACTACCCCATGCACAGCCACCACAGCAACCCAGCAGAGGTAACTGCGCAGTGGTCAGACAGGCAGTACAGGGCAAGGAGGGGAGGAAGGGATGCAGGTCCAATTCCAAGCGGGCGGAAAGCAATGAATGGGAGCTTCTTCCAAACTTTGGGAAGGACACAGTACCATGTAAGAGGCCAAGCTTTTTCTGTTTCCCTTCAGAAGCAGCCTGGCAGTCAGCGAGGGGTAATGACACCTATACCTCCAGGAGCAAGGCGCTCTGCAACTTGCACTCCCGCCAGCCAGCTGCGCTCACAAGGACAGGCCCAAGGCCATGCCGGGCAGAGTGATGTGAGTCTGAAAGGATCTGTCAAGCGCTCCGGGCTCTCAGTGACGAAAATGAATGTCAGGTGAGGAGATCACGTCCAAAAAAAAAAAATGTGGAAGTGATTTCAGGTGTACTTGATTTAGTAAAAAGGGGGAAAATCGGCTATAGAAAGATCAGCAGTTTTGATTTAAGTGCTAATCTTTCTTTACATTTGGCTTCAGTTTTCTCGTTTGACCCAACTTTCCTAGGCACATATTTGATAAGGATAAAATATAAGATATTGGACTGGGGATTTAGCTCAGTGGTTCTGGTGCCTGCCTTGCAAGCACAAGGTCCTGAGTTCAACTGCTGGTACCAAAAAAAAGAGATATTGTTGGTTAATCTTCATTTTATGTTAACTGATTTTTTCCTTGAAGGGATTTTTTTTTTTTTTTTGCTACTGGGGGTTGAACTTGCTACCTTATGCTTGTGAAGTAGGTGGCAGAACCACTGACCTATAAAATCTCCAGCCCTTTTTCCTTGAAGTTTTGAATTCTATTTATTGAATTAGCATGCAATATGAGGCATCTATAATTTGTGGTCCTAATTTCATTTAATATGACTTAAGAATGGTGGTCAAAGGTCTAAGCCTTACTTCATAGCCATGTGTAAAAGCCTGGACCTCACAGCACCTCTCCTAATGCATACGATTGTCTCAATGCTGTTGTGGAGCCCTGGGTAGGAATCTGAGAGTATGGACTCAGGGTCACCATCAGCTCCGTTTTAATTTTTTCTGGTACCAGGGATCAAACTCTGGACCTTGCACTTGTGAGCCAGGAGTGGTGCCACTGAGCTAAATGCCCAGCAATCAACCCTTAGTTATAAGTCCAGAAGTTCCACTCTATTGACACTACCAACAATAAATTTATACATCTGTACTTACATATGTCACTACTGAATCTGCCTGTTGAAGAGTCAACATTAGTGTATTAACCACGGAGACAAGTCACTGCCTGCTGACTGTTGACAGATGTGCTATCAATTATAAAGCACTTCCCAATCACTGAGATACACTCATGGCGATTTGCCGTGAGGAGTCTGGGCCAGTTTACAGAATGCTCGAAAGGGTGACATTACAGTGTTCTAGGAAGATGCTATCATCACTCTCCTGGCACAGCAGCCTCCTGTCCCTTGGACCTGGTGTCACAGTGTCTGTTGGGGGTGGCTTCTGGATCAGCTTCTGAACTTTCACTCGAAGCTTACAGCTGTATCCCTCACAGTGCCTTTCAGGTCAGTGGCCACAGTGGAGACACCAGAAGATTCTAAATGTATGTTTTTCAAGTAATGAATAATAAAAAGTGGCACAATTTAATTTGTCTTCCCATCAGCCTCTTAAAAACGTGTTTTCTGCCTGGAGATGTTCCAGGACATGCTTTCATTTGTAAACTTCACATAAGAACTGACAGCTTGAATTCCACTGTCCTGTTTAGGTTTTCAGCTGCTACTAAAGATAATGAGCATAAGCGTTCACTGACCAAGACTCCAGCCAGAAAGTCTCCACATGTGACTATGTCCGGGAACACTCCAAAAGGCCAAGTTGTGTTCGGGACACCAACATTAAAGACCACCAAGGGAAATTCTGCTGCTGCTGGTAATATGCTTCATCTTTAAACTTCCTGAAATTGTCTTTCTTTAAAGCCTCTCCATGTATATAAAATCAAAAGCAGGTCAGGCGTGGTGGTGCACCCCTGTAATCCAAGCACTCAGGAGGCTGAGGCAGGAGTTCCAGACCAGCCTGGGCTACATAGTGAGTTCCGGGACAGTCTCAACTACATAGTAAGACCCTGTCTCAAAAAAACAAAACAAAACAAATAAAATAAACTAAGGTGTTTGAATTTAAAAAAAAAAATCAAAAGCAAAAATTTTGTAGCTGGGGTGAGGTACATACCTGTAATCCCAGCTACTTGGGAGGCTGAGATAGAAGGATCACAAGTTTGAGGCCAGCTGTACCAATAAAAGTAAAATATTTTTCTAAATAAAAATTAAAAATAATTTTTAAAGGTCTGGTAACGTAGTTCAGTGAAAAGTAACATGAAAAAAACTTGTACATTTTTAACTTTATGGTACAAAAATTCACTTTATTTCTTCTTTTTTTTTTCTTTTTTCTTTTTTCGGTACTGGGGATTGAACTTGGGTCCTTGTGTTTACAAGGCAGGCCACCAAACTGCTGAGCTAAATCCCCGGCCCTCACTTTGTTTCTTGATACTGAGGTTTGAACTCAGGACCTTTTTACTGACCTACAGTATACCCAGCCTTTTTTTTTTTGAGACAGGATCTCACCATGTTGCTGAGGGGGGGTCTTCAAACTTATGATCCTCCTGCCTCAGCTACCTAATTGCTGGGATCACAGGTGTGCACCACAGTACCCTATAGAAATTTACATCCTTCAGTGAGAATAGCCTTTATTAAAAACAGCCAAAGCTAGGACACTCATAGGACACTCATCCTTATGCATTAAGGTGTTTATATCAGTTTGAGTTAATGGTAATAGGATGATTAACAGAATTTTAAAGGGCATCTATTTTAAGGAAAATAGGCTGAAGCATAATCCACTATCTCTTTAAACAGAGTTCTCCATGCCCATTGACCCTAGGAAATGTCATGGCTGTCAGATGATTTTGGAGCTGCTAAGGGGAAATCTATTGGTTAGCTGTTCTCAGTTTTTTTCCTCCTTTGATTTTCAACCCTTCCCCTTAATCCTACATCTTCTTTAGCCCATTCTTATAGATGGTCCTAGCCTGACCAGGCTGCTAAAACACTGTCAAAGCCTTGAGTGGCTTCTGAACAGCTGAAGCTTCCTTCTCAGACCCAGAGTCTAGATCAGGGCACTGGCATGGTCTGGTCTGGCGGAGGCCCCTTCCAGCCCTAGGACTCCTGATTTGTATCTTCAGGCGGCAGAAAGCGCGAGCAGGCAGAGACCCTGTGGAAAGTACTAATACCATCCAAGACCCACTCACCCCCAGGGGCCTGCCCCAATTCTAGTCACACTGGGGATGGACTGAGGTATCCAGACTAGATTTTTAAGATTTAGAAGTGACACTTTGATTAAAAACTACTATAGCAGATCCTTTTTCCTAAGTCCTTCAGTGTTTTGAGATTTTTTTTTTGTTTTCAGTTATTACTCCGCTCAAACTGACAACCATGACAATGCAGACTCCTGTCTCCAATAAGAAACCAGTATTTGACCTTAAAGCAAGTTTGTCTCGTCCCCTCAACTATGAGCCACACAGAGGTATGTGGGGTGCTTTGAGCTACAGGGATGTAAGAGACCTCAGATTAAATCTGTCTCTGAAAATATCAAAAAATTCCAGGGACTCAGAAGAAGCCACACCTGAATACCCAGAGCTGTCCTCTGCCCCTACTTCCCCATGGAGCCACTTGTAAACAGTTTCCTTTGAACAAGTGCTAAATGACTGGTTCATGTAAGCTTTTATTAACTGAAAATATAACTTCTGAAGAACGTCACTACAAAAACATAAAAAACTTCAGCCCAAATGAAGAAACTTTAGCCCATGCTAGGGTCCCACCTTGCGGCTTGTGTTAATAATGGGACTGAGACACAGGCCTTTGAATACCTGTTTGAGTCCATCCTTTTGTTTTCTTCGTCTCAGGTGTTCGTTTAAAATGAGAACACCTGAAGTGTGTACTGGAGTAACCACCATGTTGCACAGTAGACCTCTTTTAACGCAGCCCTCCCGTCTCCCTGGTCCTCCTGACTACTCCTCGGCTAACCACGGTCCCTCTCTGCCTCTTACTTCAACTGCTTTTGAGTATGTGCAGCACAGCAGAGTTGAGAAACTGTGTGATTCTAATCATAACTCGCAAGAGTGTCTCCTCCACGCCCCATGGCCTGGGATCTGGGATTCACGCTATATAGTAACATATAGTAACTTCCCTGTGTATTCCTTTTTTTTTTTTTTTTTTTTTTTTTTTTTTTTTTTTTTTAGGGACCTTGCCCTTGTGAGGCAGATGAGGCAGGCCCTAGCCTTCTTTGTAGTCCTTTTTGTAGTTACTTATGGCCTTTGGGCTTGTTTGCTTACTAATTATCTCTTACCCCAGGACCTTATCTGGTGTGAATCCTTTAACAGTCTGTGTTTCTATTATTTATTATCTGACCCAGCTAATTGTGTAAGGGTTATTAGAGTGGTTAATGACGTATGGACCAATTAAAAACGTTTTATCTTTTACAGTGTGAAATTAAAACAGTGGCAGAATGCACTGGCAGGTACCCACAGAAGAACCTTATAAAGTTGGAAATATAAGTAAAAGAATATTAAAACTGTCTTTTTCTTTGTCCTACCCAAGGCAAGCTGAAACCATGGGGGCAATCTAAAGAAAATAATTCTCTGAATGAACATGTGAGCCGAATGAATTTCCGTAAGAAAACTTACAAGCAACCTCCTCTCCAGACCAGGTATAGACATCCTCATCCTCATCTATTGTTATCATTTTTCAATTCATTTTTTTTTGGGGGGGGGTACTGGGGATCTATCTCTGGTCCTTGTACTTCCAAGGCAGGTGGCAGCACCACTGAGCTAAATCCCCAACCCCACAATTTTTCTATTTTAAAGACAATGTATGGACTCACTGCTAAAGGGCACATCTTAGTGGCAGTTGGGTTTCAGGAGGTTAGAAGTGGAATGTCTCAGTCCATTTGTCTTGCTGTGACAAGATTACTGTTTGTGAGGTCCTATGGGCGACTGGGATGAGGCAGATTCAGAGTGCCAGTTTTGCATGGGACACCAGTGCCCAAAACCCGGGCACCTTGGCATGCAAGTCGATGTGTAAATTCTTTGCTGCCAAGGAAGCCAGGTTTGCAGAGTGTGGAGGTCCTGCTTGGTGGTGGTGGTGGTGGGATGCCAGGGTGGTGCTTGGAGGCTTCTTTCAGCAGGAAAACAAGCTGAAGCCAGAATTCACACTGGGCCTCCCTGCTTAAAGCAGTCCTGACATGGTCCTGATGCCTATCACATGGCTCTGGGCCTACGTCCAGCCTTTACAAAGGCCTTTACCAATAATATTTGTCTTTAAGATAGGTATGTGGTCTTGGACTTTTTCCTTTTGGCATAATCCACTCCAAAAAAACCCAGTGGCAATAGTTCCAGCACTCTCCCCACACTACGTGATTGTGAACTTGACCTTTGCATCTAATAGCAGAGGCTTCTCACTTAAAATACATTTTTAAAGCACAGAATTTTTTCTGGTCCCGGAGCTCGAATTCAGGACCTTGTGCTTGCAAGGTAGGCCCAGTTGTGCCACTGAGCTAAATCCCAGCTCAGTTACCGAGGTGCCTTCTAATTCTAGTCCCTTGGGTGATGTTTGAATGCTTAGCTTAGATCAGTGAGCAGCAGATGCTAGAACCCCACAGGTAGAGCACAGAGCCCATAGAACTGTTCCACACAAGTGTCCAGATGCCATGTGAGGACAGCAGTCCAGCAGCTGCTTCTCAGGCCCGTCATGAGTGGAGCTGCACTAGAACTAACTGCGGCCTGTCTTTCTCAGGGAAGAGCAACGGAGGAAACATGAGCAAGAACGGAAGGAGAAGAAAGCCAAGGTTCTGGGGGCTCGCAGGGGCCTCATTATGGCTAAAGATAGATGAGTTTTGAACTCCTGTAAATATTTCTTCATTCTAAATTCACTTTCCTTCTGTAAATATTTCTACACTGTCCTCTGCCCCATTTTTCTACAGACACATTTTGTTAATTATCTATGTAGGGTCTGTGAGTTCATGTGCCACAGCTCTGAAAGGCACGATCTTAAAGCTCATGAATTCTTTGGAATGGCTTGAAACTAAGTCTTTGTACAGCTCAATTATCTGATGAGACCCATCCCAGATTCTTAACCTACATCTGTAGTGTTAATGTCCTGCTTGCTGGCACTAATATTAATAGACTTGCAGTCCTCTTCCGGGCAAGAGCTCTTACCCGAGGGTACGGGTTGTATGAAAAGCTTCAGAATTTGAGCAATGAAAAGTTAATAGGGAAAGCTGGGATAGGAAGGCCACCCGCCTTCATTCATTCTCTGCAGAAGCTACTAATCTTTTTTTTTTTTTTTTGGTACTGGGGATTGAGCTCAGGACCTTCCTTGCATGGCACCACCGAGCTAAATCCCCAGCCCAGAAGCTACTAATCTTAATGCGCTCAGCCAGTGGTTTGGTTATAGTATCAGTATTTTGCTTGTGAAAAAATGTTTTGTTTAGGCATATAAACATCTTTGTTCGTATCTCTTCATGTAATTGCCATTATTTTTTAAAAAATAAAATTCTACAGCTGATTCTATTTATTGCTTATTTAAAAGGAAGAGGTATGGGCCAGGGATTTAGCTCAGTGGTTCTGCCACAAAATTAAATAATAAATAAATAAATGGAAAAGCTACATGGTCTGTCAAAATTGGAGAAGGGGGTGTAGCTTGACACACACAAGGATTACTACTTTAAAGATTTGCTCTGGGGGCCCGGGATTTAGCTCAGTGGCACTGTGCCTGCCTTGCAAGTGCAAGGTCCTGAGTTCAATTCCTGGTACCAAAACAAAGCAGAACCAATTTTTTTTGTTGTTGTTTTTCAAAACAAAAAAAAATTTTTTTTTTTGGTACCAAGGATTGAACTCAGGACTTTGCACTTGCAAGCCAGATGCCAGCACCGCTGAGCTAAATCCCCAGCCCTACTTTTTGTTTTTTGAGACAGGGTTTCTCTATGCAGTTTAGGATGTCTTTGAACTCACTAAGTAGCCCAGGCTGACCTTGAACTCACAGCACTCCTCTTGCCTCAACCTCCTAAGTGCTGGGATTACAGGCGTGCCACCAAGCCTGACTGGGAGGCTGAGACAGGAGGATCATGAGTTTGAGCCCAGCCTGAGCAAAAAAAAGAACTGGTGAGGTTCATGGATTTTAGAAGACAAGCTCTCCACTAAATATCCCATTTCTTAGTAACTTCTACACATCCTTATTAATGTGGAAATAGAAGGAACCTAAAAGGAATTGTGGAAAGACATGAACAGTCCTCTGAGACTTCTTGCTTTGAATCTGCCTTCTCATGTGCAGAGTCTTTGTAACAGGAACCATTTTGACAAAAACATGGTAACTACATCAGTGCTTGCAACCTAAGAAACAGAATCTGGTTTCAGGATGTGTTTTCCTGATCTGCCCTCTGACAGCATTTATCCTGTGTCTTACTTTCTCATTGCTGAGACAAAATACCACCCAAAGTTAAAGGAGGATAGGTTTATTTCAGCTCACCCTTTGTAGAGGTTTCAGTCCATAGCTGGCTGGCTCCCAGGCAGAGCAGAGTAACAGAAGAGCGTCAAAGAGGTATACAGTCCATGGCAAAGCAGGGCAGGCAAGCTGGTGTGGTGGCGCATGCCTATAATTCCAGCACTCAGGAGGCTAAGGCAGTAGGATCGCTGTGAGTTCGAGACCAGCCTGGGCTATTGAGTTCCAGGTCAGTCTCAACTATACAGTGAGACCCTGTCTCAAAAAAACAAACAAACAAAAAACACCCAGGGCAGGCAAAAGCAAGCATCAAGCTATAACAGCAGCAGTAGCAGCAGCCTTCCTCTCCTTTTTATCCCTCCCAGGCTATCTGCCTCTTGAGTGATGCCACCCACACCCAGGATGGACCTTTCCATCATCCACACCCAGAACTATGCTCCACTAATTAGTGGACTAATTTAGCACCACACTAGATCCAACCACCTCAGAAAAGCCCACCTATGACTGCATGTGACTTTGGAGGGACATCTAGATACGAGCCACAATATCCCGTTTTAAGGAATACATTCCAGTCATTCATTGGACACCAGTAGGGTTTATTTTGGGCTGGGCTGTATCTCAGTTGTACAGTCCTTGCCTACCATTTAGGAAGTCCTGGGTTCTATCCCAGCACCATAAAACAAAACACTTTTTTTTTTTGTCTGTATCACAGAGGCTACTACTACTCTTAGTTTAACAATAAACTGCAGTATGTTCTTCCTCATCTAAAAAGCCTTGGGTTAAGCACTGGAGAATTTTCATAAGCAAATTCTTCTGTGTGGGCTGGATCAGTAAACACACCAATAAAATCTATTTCCAGGAAGAATGGACCATCTACTTTATCAGCCAAGGTGAATCCTATAGAAGAAATCTAAAGTGAAAATAGAGAAATTGATTAAAATCTTACCATTGATGTACTGCTGTTATTCCATGAGTTATCGCTGTGCATGATGAGTCTTTACACTAGGAGCACTCAGCAGAACACAGCAGTTCTCATGTGGTAGAGCAAATTAGAATATGGACAAGACTGTTGTTCTTTCCCCCTTTTGGTGGTCCACTTGACAGCAGAACAACACAAATGCCTAATGGAGCTCTTATGCTCTTTTCTTTCTTTGTCTGAGACAAAGTCTCACTATAGTTTAGGTTGGTCTTGAGTTTACTATGTAGCCCAGACTGGCCTCAAACTTGCGGTGATCCTTGTGACTCAGCCTCCTGAGTGCTGGGACGGCAAATGTGCAGTACCACGCCCAGCACTGGAGCTCTTCTGAACTCTTGTTTGAAAACAAAAATAAATTGCAGGCATACTGAGAAAATGATGACAACATCCCACCACAGTAGGGTGAGTTCACTGGACAGGTCTCAATCTGCATCTGGGTACAAAGAGAGGGGACCCTGCATAGGAATTTCATCATTCATCTGCCAGCTTCCCAAAACAGGCTAAATTTGTCCTCTTGGGGGTTGTTTCACTATAGTATCATCCTGGATGAGAAGTATGGGGAAATCTTACCCTGTCAAGCAGAAGCTGGTACTGGGCATCCCGAATTCTTCCTTTATTTGTGAAGAAAAATTTGGAGAAGGGAATCTGAAAGAAAACATTTATCTGTATGGAATTGCAATGATCAAAAAAAATTTAAATTTCATTTTTAAATTATTTAAAGTACCAATATAGAGCCGGGCGTGGTAGCGCGTGCCTATAATCCCAGCACTCGGAAGGCTGAGGCAGGAGGATCGCTGCAAGTTTGAGACCAGCCTGGGCTACACATTGAGTTCCAGAGCAGTCTGAACTACATAGTGAGACCCTGTCTCAAAAAACCAAAAAAAACAAAAAACAAAAAACAAACAAAAAAAAAACCCCAATATAGAAGCTGTTTGGACCAAGATACAAAGGCATGTAATACTTTGTTTCAAAAAAGGGAAAAAGAAAAAAAAAAAAAGCTGGGTGCAGTGGTACACACTGGGAGGCAAAGCAGGACTGCGAGTTGGAGGTTAGCCGGGGCAATTTAGTAAGCCTTGGTCTCTAAATAAACAGCCGGATGTAGCACAATGCTTCCTGGTTCAATACTTGAGTAGTATCTGCAAAAGCAAAACAACAAAAAAAGGGGGGGAAAAAAAAAAGAATAGAAAACAAAATCTAAGCCAGAAGTCCCAAATGACAAATAATAGGGTACAAATTACAGCTGAAAGAAAGTGAACTAGGAAAAAATTTGTAACACAGCCAAGAGACTAGTATCCTACACACAGCTTTTACAAATATCTAAGAAAGGGGCGGGAGAGAGTTGTGCTCCGTGCACACTGACCTCAGCCCGCTCCACGCTGCACAGGCCAGCAGCACTGGCCTCGGAACTTGGGCAGTTGTCCAGGCCCCCAGGCTTAACTTCCAGCAGACAACCACATGTTATGTGTGTTATGCGGCCCTGGTGCAGTGACAGGAAGAATCCTGCCTTACCTGACATACATTCTTCCTAGAGATACTGAGCCTGAACCTAGGCAAGTCTTTCCATCTAATACCTAGTCTTCAGAAAACAGGAGGGACAAGGTAAGTGACAACACATAAGGAAACAAAAACAATAAAAAACTGAAGGGGAAAAAAAAAAGGGCTGGATATGGTGGAACACACCTATAATCCCAGCACTCAGGAGGTTGAGCTAAGAGGATCGCTGTGAGTGTGAGGCCACGCTGGGTTACATAGTTCAAAGCCAGCCTGAACTATAGCCTGTCTGTTATTTTTAATGAGGATGGAGAAGCTGGGCATGGTGGCACACACCTGTAATCCCAGCACTCGGGAGGCTGAGACAGGAGAATCGCTGTGAGTTTGAGACCAGCCTATAATCCCAGCACTCGGGAGGCTGAGACAGGAGAATCGCTGTGAGTTTGAGACCAGCCTGGGCCACACAGTGAGATCCAGGTCAGTCTCAACTAATAGTGAGACCCTGTCTCAAAAAAAATTTTTTTTTAAATTAGGATGGAGAGAATAACCTGTTTTAGTGGGAGGGTGGCTCAGCTATTTTAGAGGCAGCTGCCAAGTGTAACAGGTGGCATTCTAAGGTGGCCCTAACAATTCCCACCTGCTGATATGTACGCACCTCCCAAGTATCCAATCAAACACTGATCTCAGCTGCAGTGAGGATTTTGCCAATAGAGTTAAGGGTCCACATCAGCCACCCTTAGGAGACTGCCCTGTGTAGATGTGACAAGCATCTGAGCCCATAAAGAAGGCTCTTGAGCGTGAGAGACTCTCCAGGGCCCCACCCGACCAACAGCAAGGCCAGGAGGATTTAGCTCTACAATTACAAGGAACTGACTTTGCCTAGGAAGCAGAAAAAGCTACAGTCTTCCCCAGAAACTCCAGGAAGGAGCACAGCCTAGAAGACACCTTCATTTCTGCCATAGAACTGACCAGCTGAGGCCAGGCATGGTGGCACACTCCTGTAACCCTAGCATGCTGGAGGTTGAGGCTGGAGGCTCACTGGGTGTTCAGGGCCAGCCTGGGCTACACAGTGAGTTCAAGGCTAACCTGAACTATATAATGAAAACTAAAAAGGGCTGGGGACATAGCTCAATTCAAAGGTTCAATCCACAGGACTGCAAAAACAAAAAGAAACTGACATAATGTGAAATAGGAAGAAAAGGTGCAAAGGGGAAGTGGGAGGGGTAGGGGAAAAGGAGAGAAGGGGGCTGGGGATTTCGTTCAGTGACACTGCTGCCTGCCTCAAGCACAAGGACTTGAACTCAATCCCCTATAATAAAACAAAACAAAACAACCAACCAGGACCAGGGATTTAGCTCAATGGCACCATGCCTGCCTCACAAACACAAGGTCCTCAGTTTAACCCCAGGTACCACAAACAAACAAACAAAATAGTTCTTAAAGCTTCATCTTATTTAACAACTAGACTGCTTATGCTGTCAAGAAGTTGAGACATTTTCATGATTGTAAAGTATTCTGCCTAAGGAAACCTTTCTGTTGAGCTTTGCATACTAACTTAGTAGAGTTGCCTGGAAAAGATGACATCTAGCTGGGTTTCGTGGTACACGTCTGTAACCCCAACTACTCAGGAGGCTGAGGCAGGAGTATCACAAGCTCAAGGCCAGCCTGGGCAATTTAGTGAGACCCTATCTCAAATTTAAAAAATTAAAAGGGCTAAGAAGTAGCTTAGGTGTAGAGCTGCTAGCCTAGCATGTGGGGAGCTATGGGTTCAATCCCCAGTACTGCCAAAAAAAGACACACACACCTACTTGGGTGCAGAGCAGAGTGCTAGCTGACTCCATGGATCTGATTGTCCTTTCTAGTTATTAAGCTAACAGTGTGAGTGAAAGGAAGTCATCTGCTGAGTCCCTTCCTTCGGCCCACTCTCCACCAACCCCTTGCAGGCGGGGTTAGCACCAAGAATGCTCGTGAATGCAGGTACCTTGACCTCCTGCCAGTATGGCCCGCCCCGGGTGTACATGAAGTAGCTGTACATCCGTTCCTGACTCTGGATGAACTCCATCTGCTCCCGGAGGTTCACCATCCATGGCCGGCCGTCGCCACGAATGCGCAGGTACAGACTGTTGTACTGGGTCCAGTCATAACTCTGTCTCCTCTCAAAGGCGCCCTGAGCACAGAAGGAAGGCCAGTTAATCTCACTCTGAATGGCCGGCACAAGATAAGCTGCCAGGTCAGCAGCAGTGAGGGACCCATGTTTCTGCCCCGACAGACTTTCTGCCACACCATGGCAGGAAAACCTGCTGACTATTATGTCAGCACAAACGCTGACCTACTTTCCTATTTCTCCGGTTGCATTCAGGAAACAACTGGCCAGCACAGTGTTTCCACGGGACACACATCTGCTGCATGGAAACAACTGGACCTGTTTCCCTGCCCACTGCCACCTTGCCCAAAGAAACAGAGCTCAAGGAATTTTGGTTTGGTTTTTCCTTGTTGTTTACTTTTGAGATAGGGTCTTACTACCTAGGCACTGAATATTAAGTTGAGCATTTGTACAAGTGATCCTATCTGAGCTTCCTAACAGCCCTAAAAAAAATGTCACAACTGGGCTTGGTGGCACACACCTGTGATCCCAGGACTCACGAGGCTGAGGCAGGAAGATAGTTGAGTTCAAGGCCAGCCTGAGCTACATGGTGAGGCCCTGCCCCGTACCCGGTTTCACAGAAACTAAGCACCACCTAAGAAGCAGTACAGCAGTAATGTTTCCCCACCCAAGTCCATGTGCCTAGCTGTACTGTTTCTCGCTCAGCACTGGCACTGGACACTGATCCCTAGCAGCCATGAAGAACCTGACTGCAGGACCAGTAGTGCTCAAACAGGAACTCCTACTCACCAGCTCTGCCACTGCGCAGAGTCTCCCCGCAGTGTCCTCCTCCATAAACTTACAGATCTTCCCTCCCTGCAGGGCTGTCATGAGGAATAAATAGGATATAATGTAGAACAAGTGCCCACTACAGGGTCTGGCGAGGTACATTAATAAATATTATCTCCGATTTTCCCTGCTTCATAGTGACTATCAAGCCATACACCCCACCACGTTTCTGCAATGTGGTTCACACTGGCCTCAAGTTTGAGGCCCCCTGAGTAGTGGGTATTAAAGGCAGATCCACCATACCTGGACCCACAGAATCATCCTTTACTCTACACTGACTAAATACATTCTGTGGATTTCACAGACTTAAAAAACCCAAAACTATCATTTCTTGTATGTGGAAGAGCACACACTTTCCTTTTCATTATTATATGAAGAGAGGGAGCCTAGTATTACTCCTGACACTTGCTTTTCTCCTTAAAGCCTAACAGCCAAGCGAATGCCCACAATTTCAGCCAGGGTCTGGCATGCAAGCTTGCCTAAGGCAGTTCTCAGATGAGTAGGCAATGAAGCAGAGAGAGGTGGAGGCAGGCAGGAGACAAAGGAGTCCATCATCTAAACACCTTCAGAAAGTAGTATTTTCTTCTGGAAACCATAGGTTAAAAACAAAAGAACTGTACATAAACACTATAGTTAATTTTATTTTCACAGAGCTAAAAGATAAAATTTCTGAAAATGGATGGGGTGTAGCTCAGTGGTAGGCTTCTTGCCTTGTATAAGGCCCTAAGTTTGACCCCCAACAATGCAAAAAAATCCCTGTAATTCATAAACTGACCCTGACAAGGTGGCATATGTACTACCTATAATCCCAGCTCCTCAGGAGGCTGAAGCAGGATATCATCTGAGCCCAGTTCAAGACCAGCCTACACAACAAAACAAAGAAAAAACAAATCTGAAACTACTTCGCATATATACAGAGGTTGAAAGTAAATGAACAGTGCACCAGACCAATTTCTCCCTGTTAGAGAGGGAAGTTACAGTAAGCGAGAGGGCAAACTTGCTGAGACACAAACAGCATGAACTCACACTTGCCATAATGTCACACTTGGGCAGACAGGGTAGTAAGGACAGCTGTGTACACATGGTCAGCACACACCCATGTACAGTGGCCTGTCTCCTAGAGACATACATTTGGGTTTTTGCTGCTGTTGTTTTTGTTTTAGGGGGAGTTTTGTTAGCGCTTTCTGAGACAAGGTCTTGCTGTACTGTCCAAGCCAGACTTGATGGTACAAGCCTCCTGCCTCGGTCTCCCAGGTGCTGGGATTACATACATGCACTACCACACGTGACAGGACACCTTCCGTAGAAATTCAGCTAGGTGATTTTATCAGGGTACCACCGAACACCCAATTGTGCTTCCCAAGCTAGATGGTATAGCTCAGTAATTCAACACATCCTCTTTTGTTTTTCTTTTCTTTTTCCTGATACAGGGGATCAAACTCAGGACTTTGCACTTGCAAGGCAGGCATGGTGCCACTGGGCTGCATCCCCAGCCCCTTGTTTTTCTTTTATTGAGACAGCATCTGGCTGTGTTGCCTAGGCAGTATGTAAATGGAACCCCTGCTGCCTCAGCCTACCAGGTGCTGGAATCCCAGCACATACTCTGCACCTGGCATCGGCGTGGCCTCAACACAATCAGGAGGGGCGGTAAACATGACATGTATGAGGCTGCTACCAGCATCATGTGGCACTGTTTTATGCTGAGTCTTCCCTCTCACTTAGAAGGCATATACTCTAATGATAAAAGCACATGTAGGCCAGTATCACTGTCACTCACACACCTAACCTGTTCATTATTGGGCCGGGGATTTGGCTCAGCGGCTCCACTGCCTGCCTCACAAGCACAAGGTTCTGAGTTTGATCCCCAGTACCAAAAAGAAAGAAAGAAAGAAAAAAAGATAAACTGTTAAGTACACACCCAGCTGGGCTACACTGAGTCTGCCACCATCAGCACAAACATGGGACATGTTGCACTAACGTGTCCTGACTGCAAGTGAGTGGGTGAAACAGTGTTCAGCTTTGCTAGCTTCATGGGACAGCCTGCCACTGAGTAAAGAGCTGTTGTGCTACTATTTACGTTTGCTGAGAGGGGCTAGAAGGGAAAAATCAACAGACACAAGCATATCCTGCACCCAACCTTTGGAATCCAATCCCGATCATCAAACAGGTCTCTTTTAAAAAATGACTAATTGTACGGCTGGGACAGGAAAACTACAAGATGAGTGCAGAGCATCCTGTAGTGTCAAAAAGTGCTCAAAAGTAGCCAAGTGTGGAGGCACAGGTCTGTAATCCCAGCACTCTGAGAGGCTGAGCCAGGAGGACTGCAAGTTCAAGCTCTGTCTGGGCAACTCAGCAACTTAAGACTGCCTCAAAATGAAGCAAAAAAACAAAAACCACTGAGGGGCAACCACCGTGGGTTTGATTCCCAGTACTGGAAAAAGAAGATAAGAGCTAGTGGGCCAACCTTGCAGAGCACGCAAGTAGTGAAAGCTGGTACTATCAGGAAACAAAGAAATAGCCAGCTCAACCACGCGGTACAGGCTGACTGTCCCATCAGGCAAATCTAATGGACTTTTTACTAGTAAAACCAATAAAAAGCCACAGGCCCACCACTGGCGGTTCAAGCCCTCAGCAGTGAAACTGGAACTATGGCCGTTGTGAGCATGTTCGATATCCCCACAGTGTGATTCCATACTAAATGACTTAATCAGTAGTGACAGTGGAAGGAAAAGCAGACCTAGGGAAAACGTCAAATAACTTGTGGATACCAAGTCTGCCAAGAGACAGAGCCTATCCCTCTCACCCACCGCCCCTCGAATGGAGACTGTACTTGGTGACCTGCGAAAAGAATGTCAGGAGCAGAGTGCCTGGCAAACACTACCCTGGCCAGGCGGTCAGGAGCCCTGAGAGCATGTGATGAGAAGGGCACTGCAACTCCGTGTGGTGTTCCTCCTAAAACACCAGTCTAAGGAGAGAAAACCATGGGAAATCCCTGAGTGAGGGACACCCCATGTATCTCAGCTCCTTCTGAAAACCAGGACACCACTGGTCCCAGCTATCTGAGAGACTGGGTAGGAGAATCATCTGAGCCCAGTAGTTTGAGACCAGTCTGGGCAACAGAGACATCTCAGAATGCCATTAAAGCTGGGCCAGGTAGCACAAGCCTGTAATCTCAGCACTCAGGAGGCAGAAGCAAGAGGATTACTACAAGTTCAAAGCCAGCCTGGGCTACACAGTGAGTTTGAGGCCAGCCTGAACTACATAACAAGACCCTGTTTAAAAAAAAAAAAAAAAAAAGAAAGGCAGATGAAGAAACTATCATATACCAAAGAAATAAAGATACATCATAATTACCTCTGTGGATGGAATTCCTCAACAGAAAACGTATATTACTGTAAAAACTAAAAAAATCTAGGGCTGGGGATTTAGCTCAGTGGTTCCAACAAGGTCCTAAGTTTGATCCCTGGTACCAGACCAAAAAAAAAAACCCTAAAAAATTCCAAATAAAGTCTGGAATTTAGTTAGTAGCAATATACTAAAGTTAGTTTCTTAGTCGTGACAAACGTAGTGTAATAACCTCAGTTAACATGGGAGAAGCTGGTGAGAGGTACATGGGAACTCTGCACTACTTTGTAATTGCAAATTTTCTGTAAATCAACAATTATTCTAAAATAAAAAGCCCACTCAAAAAAGAAAAAAAGGCACAGACAAACCCTACATCTACTCTAAGGGAGCCCTGGCCACCAGCGCAGCTATGGTCAAAGGCAGTGGAAATGCCAGTCTCCCCAAATATCACCCAGAGCTCAGACAGCTTGAGGAAGCTTCACACAGAAGTGCTACTCCCTGGAACAAAACAGTGGGGAAACAAGGAATCCTCTTCAGGAACCACGCCCCTCAATCCTGGTGAAATGTCCACGTGAGCAGGATGGGTTTGCCACACTGCTGCTGGTGACAGGAAGTCCGCGCAGCACACCAGCTCCCCACAGTCCGGCCTCACCTACCCTGAGCACCCTGGATATCATGGCACAGTACCCACTCCGGCTGTTCTCCCCATCCTTAGCGGCCTCCGTGCTCAGAGTTCCATACAACAGTGCGCTTTGGTTGTTCTTGCCCATTTTCAGGAACGCTTCACTTCTGCCTCCAATCACCTTATCGGAGGTCACTAGCCACTTGTCTAAGTCCTCTCTGCCTCGGAACTGCCAGACAACCCTGGTTTGCTCCAGCAGGACATCGTGCAGGGGGCGGCCTTCCGGCCCTATCCAGTAATTCACGAACTCATTCTTCAGGAGTTTGAGGTGGTTCTTTACTTCATCTCTAATGGCTTTATCGAAGTCCATTTCAGGCCTCTCTTCAGAAGAGGAGATATCCAAAGTGACTTCCGTCTGTGTCTGCTCATGGCCTTGCAAACCCTCTTTGGGCTTCCCCTGCTCAGAGGCTCTGCCAGGAGTGGTGCCCGGCTTCTGAAGACTTCCACAACAATAGTCTGCGGTGCAAAGCCCCAGAAGTGGACGCAGGGTCCTGCACGACTTCAGGCACTTTCTGAGAATCGGGCTGCCACTTGGGAATTTACAGACCAAAGCCATGCTGAAAAAGGGGCAAAGTGTAAATTTCTCCCCGGTTCCCAGAGAAGGAAGCTTCAGCAAATAGCCTAATTCTACCTGTGATGGAAAAGACGTTGAAAAGTTACCAGTACAACAACCAAAGAATCCCGATTTCAAATTCAACAGAGGTCAGTAACAGGACACTTTTAATACACTTTCTAATTCTAAAAATATTGATTCAATGCCTGTTAGGAGCAGAGCATGGTATTATACACTGCAAAAAGTACCAAGATAACTAAAATTAGGCCCCCGTAAAACAACAAAAAAAGGCTCCAGCCTCATCAAAATACTGATCAACCCAAAAACAATTCAAGTATGTGCTAAATGATATCCCAAATTGTTATATCAACTTTTTCTGTTTTGTCTTTTGAGACAAGGTCTCACTACACTGCCCAGGCTGGGCTCAAACTCATGACAATCCTGCTGTTTCAGCCTCTTGAGTGCTGGGATACAGGTATATGGCACCATCCTTGGCTAGATGTTGTATCAACTTTAAAGCAAAATTTTAAGATAGAATTGTAAAGAAATGTAGGTTCTAAACAATAAAATACCCAAATAATTCACTTTAGGACCTGGGCAGACCTTCAGTGTCAGCAATTCTTTTTTTTTTGTACCAGGGATGGAACTCAGGACCTTGTGCTTGTGAGGCAGGCAGCAACAGCACCACTGAGCTAAATCCCTGGCCCTGTCTTTTTCTTTTTTTTTTTAAATTTATAACAGGGATCAAACTCAGGACCCTGTACTTATAAAGCAGGCGCTTTACCGCTGAGCTAAATCCCTGGCCCTAGTGTCTGCAATTTTTATAAAAATTAGGGAATCCAGAAAAAAAAATTAGGGGATCCAGGCATGGTGGCATACACCTGTAATCCCGGAACTCTGGAAGCAGAGGCAAGATTTCAAATTTGAGCCCAGCCTGAGCAATTTAGCAACTTAAACCCTTTCTCAAAATAAAAAATTTTTTTTTTTGTTTTGTTTTCTTTTGTTTTTTGAGAAAGATCTCGCTATGTAGTCCTGGCTGGCCTTGAACTCACTATATATCCCAGGCTGGCCTCATGAGGTGATCCTCCTGCCTCTGCCTCCCAAGTGCTGGGATCATAGGCATGCATTTTTAGTTCGGCTAAAAAAATGGTTTTCAAAAAAGGTGCTGAAAGCCAGGGATTTAGCTCAGTGATTCCATTGCCTGCCTGGCAAGCACAAGGTCCTGAGTTCAATCCCGGGTACCCCGCCAAAAAAAAAATTAGGGCCAGGGATTTAGTTCAGTGGCACCACGCCTACCTGGCAAGCGTAAAGTCCTGAGTTCAATCCCCACTACAAAAAAAAAAAAAAAAAAAGGATGCTGGGATATAGGTCAGTGTGAAAGCCCTGGTTTTAATACACAGTACTCAAGAAAAAAAAGCGGGGGGGTCCTATAGGAAGCACTGTATGTGGAGTCAGAGACTTGAATTCTACTCTTTGTTTAGGCTGTGAACATCTGAGTGCTGCAGTTTCGCAGAGCTTAAACCTAATAAAGCTATTTACTCTCGAGTAAACCAGTCTCCCCCCACCCCCCCCTCTCTCTTCAGTTCTGAAAGTTAAACCCAGGGCCCTTATCACTGCCCAGGCTGAGCTCAAACTTAGGAGCCTCCCATCTCAGCCTCTCAGTGTGGTGGGTTTAGAGGCATGAGCACCTATGGCTGGCTCTAGTCCATCTCTTGAGGACCGCTTCCCTTAGGAGTAAGGCACCTATCTACCGTGGGAGGCTTTTCTGCAGACCATAAGGAATGATAGCTTCTCGGATTCAGTAAGTCTGATGGGATCCTCAAGTTACTTCAGACTTAAAATGTAGTGCAAAGCCCACACAGATAACCAGGTTCTTGTAATAGTCACTATTTGAGCTCCTCAAAGAGAGCTTGCCGGGCATGATGGCACATGCCTATAATCGCTTACTAGGAAGGCTGAGACAGGAAGATCACCACCTGAGGTCAGCCTGAACTACATAGCAAGACTCTGTATTCAGGGCTGGGGATTTAGCTCAGTGGTGCTGCCGCCAACTCTGCAAGTGCAGGGTCCTGAGTTCAATCCCCCATACCAAAAGACAAAAGGGGAAATCAAATCGCTTCCCATTACCTAGAGAACTTTCTGGGCACTAGTCCTTCCTCAGCTGCCGACTGTAACAAACTGGCTCAAATCTGGCACAGAGTGTAGCGCATCTCCATTGTGCTAATCCACTCATCCACTACACCCCTGCTGTGACACCCTGGGTCCCAGTGTGTGATGGCATGCAGGAGGATTCTCCTATCTGAATAAACATCTCTACATTTCTGCACCTCTGCCACAGTGCCCTGCTTCAGAAACATATTGCTTCTTCCCAGCCCTGTGTAATTCTCTGACAGGGCTTTTCCAACTCTAGAGCACCATGAACCACTTGGAATTTGTAACACAATGCAATTCATTTCAGCACATATGGCTTAGAGCCTGGGAATCTGCATTTCTAACAGCACTCCTTGCTGGCCCATGCAGAACATTAAAGAGTAAATTTCTAACTAATCTTCTCCACCCTGCATCTGGAACTACAGGGACTTTTGTAGATATAACGTCACTTCCTATACTACTTCAGCCATTCCTTCTAGAAATCCAGCTTCTAAGCACACACAGGCCTCCAAGAGATGCCTCTGCTGGCCTACCGTCTCACAGCCCAGCTGACCACCTCCTGTCTGCAGACAGCAAAACCACAGACACCATGCAGACCCCAACCTCATCAGAGCTGGGGGTGTGCCTCAGAAGTAGAACACACAAGGAACTAAAAACATAAAAAATATAAAAATAAATGTTCAAAATATTTGATGATACTGGCCACTGTGAGTTACAGCTGCATCCGGACCAACGAGGCCCAACCTCTTTTTGCTCCTTTGCCTATCATAGCACCACCTCCACCTCTGCTTCTTGACAAGAGCACCAAGAAATCGCTAGGCAGAAACTCACACCAAGCCACCTCTCCCCACACCCTCTCACTGTGATGCCCCAAGGCTTCCGGTGCTGTGCATTCTCCATCAGGAGAGGCAATAAACTCAGCCTGCGCAACTGCACCTATGCCCAGAAGGCTGTGAGACAGGGCACTGACACCACTCTCTCTTCATGTGCAAATCTGTGCAGACCTCTCAAGTATAGAGGAACTAAGCCAGCTGTGGTGGCCCAGGACTAGAATCCCTGTACTTAGGAGGCTGAGAGGCAGGATGATGGTAAGCTGAAGACCAGCCTGGGCTATATAGGGAGTCTGTCTCCAAAAGACAAAAACCAAACTAAAACTCCCACACCTTTCTCGTATGCTGTTACAAGTATAAAATGCATAAACAAAAAATATTTGGGGGGGAAGTTTAATGTGTATCAGGCTTATCATTTCCTAAACCCTCAGTAGTGGTGTTAACTCCTTTAATAATACTATAAATGTAATTATATTTTGTTCATATGAAATGGGGTCTACATTGCCCAGGCTGGTCTTGAATTCCTGGGCTCAAGAGATTTTCCTGCCTTACCTTCCTGAGCAGCTGGGCCTGAAGGCTGGAGTGCCACCAAACCTGGTAGTTTCATTTTTTACCACTAGTTATGTCTATTATGCCAACCTGAGAAACTCAACAATGATGGGTTGAGGTAAGCAGTGAGTTTTCACAATAGGAAACGAAACTAGAAGTGAGTAGTATTAATAAAGGCCATAAATCCTGCCAGGTGTAGGGGCACACACTTGTAATCTCAGCACTTCGGAAGACTTAGGCAGGAGAATTGCAAGATCGAGCCCAATACTTACTTACAGACAATTTAAGAGCCAGCAAGACCTCTTCTCAAAAAAATAAAAATAAAATAAATAAGTCACACATGTGTAAATACTGAATAGTTTCTCTGGTGTGAAAAACTGTAATAGTAGACAAGATCCTAATGAGAAATTAACAATGTGAAATAGGAAGAAAAGGGCTAAAGTGGGAAGGGTAGGAGAAAGGGAATAAGGGAAAAGAAAAAAATATGAGAAAATGAAAAAATGGAAATAAAGTGTTTGTAAATGGGGAGGGGAGAAGGGTGTGAAGGGAGGGTAGGGACAAGGGGAAAAAATGAGAACCAAGACCTGTCATGTAAAGGTACAAGATCCCAATAATGAATGTTACTGTACTGTATACCTAGAATGTACCAATAAGCTCAATAAAAAGAAAAAATAAAAATAAAAATAAATCGGTGATGTAGCTCAGTGTGAAAGGGTCTGCGTTCACTCTCCAGCCCCAAAAAAACATAATTTAAAATTGTAAACCCAGGGCGGAGGGTTTAGCTCAGTGGTACCGGGTTTTCCTGCCTGGTGCAAGGTCCTGTGTTCATTCCTGTACCCCGCCCCCAGCATTTACTTCCAGACAAAACCAATTAAATATACGTTCAGGCCTGAGGATTTAGCTCAGTGGTTTTGGCTCCTGCCTCGCAAGTGCAAAGGCCCGAGTTCGATCCCCAGTACCCACCCCCCAAAAGTATATGTTCAATGATTCTTCACAGTAGCCTTGAGAGAGATACTATTATTATTCCAATTACAAAGACTATAAAAACAGCCAGGCATGGTGGCGCACCCCTGTAATTCCATCACTCAGGAGGCAGAGACACGACTGATGTGAATACAAGCCATTCTGAGCTATACAGTGAGTTCAAGGTCAGCCTGAACTGCATAGCAACACACACACACACACACACAAAACTAGAAAACCGACTCGGCGGGGTGGTTTACGACTGTAGCGTTAACTACTAGGGAGGCTGGGGCAGGAGGATCAAAAGTTCTAATCCAGTCTGAATAATTGAGACTTTGTCTTAAAAAAAATAAAAATAAAAAAGTCCTGGGCTGGGAATTTAGCTCAGTGGTTCCGCCGCCTGCCTCTAAAGAGCAAGGTTCCGAGTTCGATCCAGGTACCAAAACAAAAACCACAGTCCTGGAATGTAGCTTAGCGGCAGAGCGCCCCTATGTTTGTTAGCTTGAACTAAAATAAAGAAATAAACAAATAAAGACTCGGAAACGGAGATTCCAAGATTATATTGTCCGATGTCACGCAGCTAATGGTAAAACTAACCCTGTAGGGCCGGGGATTTGGCTCAGTGACTTCGCCGCCTGCCTTGCAAGCGCAAGGGCTCTAGTTCTATCCCCAAAACAAACAAAAATCTGTAGTTCACCACCTGGGCAGGAGGAAAGGGTTAGAAGGCGGTCCCGTCAAAACTCACCTGCTAGACTGCGTCGCCTCCTAGGTAGCAGACGTTCCCACAGCCTGCGACCACCTTCCCGAGCTCAGGTTAAGGGCAGTTTCCGCCAAATCCGCTGCTCTTTCCCTCCCAGTCCTCCACTATTCCGGTGTAGAGCTTTTCCTTTCCGGCACCAAACTAGTGACTCAGCGTTATAGTTCCGGCCCTGGGCGGAGTCCCAGGATGGAGGGCGATGATCCAAGCAGTCCACAAAGGCTCGGCTTCCACTCATTTTTTCTGCCCTTCAGAAAGAGCGCAGTCTGCGCCCTTCGCCCCAGGCACCGGGGTCCCCTGGCTGTCTCACCTCGCAGTCCCCGGAGCTGTCAGTGACCCGGGGAAGACGTTTCTGCCGGCACTGCTCAGTGTGCAGCGAACACCGTGGTCCCTGGACCCCAGCCTGCCCCGCCGGCCCTCCCGACGGGGGCGCTTGACCGGGAGTGCACTTTGTTCTCCCGGGCTCCGCAGAGAGCCCCGAAAGCTGCTGCCCTTTCCAGGTATCCCCCATCGCCAGTGTCCAGCCTCCTTTTTCTTCTTGAAATTCTGTTTCAGGACTCCACATTTCAGGCCTGGACCCTTCCTCACTAATTGCCTCTCCACTACCTTAAGTGTCTCCAGAGCCTACTACACCTTTTCTCTAGTTTCCAATGGTTTTCTACAATTTGGTAATCTCTTTTCCTAAACACCAGGATACATTCCCAACTCTTCTAGCAGTCTCAGGGTGGGAACCAGCATCTTTAATTTGATGTGTAAAACAACATACCATATTTTCCTATATTAATTCCTCTTCTTAGCGTATTTCTTTCTTTTGTTCTGGTACTAAGAGTCGCAGGGCCTTCATGTTGAACTGCATCCCCAACTCTTTTTGTATTTTTTATTTTGAGACAAGAGTCTCACCAGGTTGTCCAGATTGGGTGTGTTGTCTGGGTTCAGATGTCACCCAAGAGAGGGCTATTGGCTAGTGGCCATTTTGGAAAGAGGCTGAGCTCAGAATCCAGAATAGCTATAGGCCAACTCCATCTAGTGCCCAATTCGAGTTTGCAGGAGGTCAGGAAACTGAGTTTAAGGCAACAGGGGGCACACGGACTGTTGCAAGCTCAACAAATCTGGTTCCACTTTCATAACTGGAAACAAGTGGGACTTAAGGTGCAAGCTTGCTGGGATTATTCAGTACTCTACCATAAAGCTACTGCTGGCTTGCTGGGATTAATCAATGCAAATCTGGACTTGGTCTGCCCATGTTGTCTACCAGTGACAGCAGAGACATGATTGAATTGGACTTTTTAAATTATTATCTTTTTCTTTTTTGTTCTTATTTTGCTTTCTCTTTTCCTGATTGTTGCTTTTATGTGAGTGTGAACATGTTTTCTAGTTTTGCTTTTCTGTTCTGGGTTTTATTTCTTCCTTCTCTCTTCCCCTCCTGTCTTCTTCACCAGTTTAACCAAAGTTAGTGTGATTTTCCTTTGTCCTCCAGCTTTGCTTCTAATCTCTTTCTCTTCTTCTATTTCTCTATTTTCCCCCAAACCCTTTTAAATCTTCTACCATAAGGGTAAAAAAAAATCTCTCTATTGAGGGCTTAGTTATTGCATACAATTTTCTGGTTCATTAGATTTTGTTCTATAACCACAAATCTGGTTCATATGATTAAAGGTGGCAAATTAATACTTACCACAGTGGCCGGGCATGGTGGTGCATGCCTGTAATCCCAGCACTCGGGAGGCTGAGGCAGGAGGATTGCTGTGAGTTCAAGACCAGCCTGGGCTACATAGTGAGTTCCAGGTCAGTCTCAACTACATAGTGAGACACTGTCTCAAAAAAAACAAAACAAAAACAAAATACTTACCACAGTTTGTTATTTTCTAAGCTGTATTTCTAGCTCTATGCTAGTCAGACTCCCAGCTCAGTAAAGGCAAACCCAGGGGGCAATGAGGTGGAACAATCTTAAAGCCACCTACCTGGACTCTGAAATAGTAGCACTGCAAGTAACAAAGCAGATGAACAAGGCTCTAGAAAAACTCAAAGCAGAAGATAGATGCTGGGATTGCAGTTATGTGCCACTGTGCCTGGTCGCTAAAGATTTTTAAAATGAGGAGACTTCTGGGAAGATGGCAGAATGGTGAGCAGGAGAGAAGAAGCATCTCCAAGATTTGGTGTTCTAACAGTGGAATATAGTGGCTCAAGGAGAAGGACATACCTGAATTCCCAGGCCCCAAGAAGGATCTGAAGCGAGAATCGAAGTCCACAGGGAAATTTAAGAGGAGACTTCAATGAAGAGGAGGGAGATAACAAGCAGCATTCACTCTCAGAGCCTAGACTTATAGCATGGGAATGGTGGGTTGCACCTGCAGATGCGCAGTGACTACTGGCAACCCCAGAGGCCTCCACAGAGAAAGGCACCAGTGGAACAGCAGTGGATGCAATGGGCTGCAGCAGCTTGTGAGTTATCTGGGTTCAGATGTTACCCAGCAGAGGGTGATTGGCATTTAGCCATCTTAGAGAGGGGCCCTGTTACTGATTTTTATAACATGTATTCTTAGAGCATAAACCAGAAGGTAAGGTAAATTTTATATAAATATGTTAGCTGGAGAAGTTCCATTTTTTACTTCAAATTAAATTTTAAAGTTACTAGCCTAAAAAACAGTGCTCTCAATTTTCATTTACATTTTGCTATATTAAGACCTATAAATAAATGCATATGGGTTTTTAAATTAAATGTTGCTGGTTTATTTAGAGTATGTGATTGCAGAATTTCTTATATAGGACAAAATCTGAAATATTCTTTATAAAAACTAGATTCATAGTTCTTTATGTCTGATAAATGTTGGGGGAGGAATGTTAATTATGCTAATTATGTTAATTATGTTAATATATGGTGGTTTCTATATGATACCTATATTCCATATAGCCAGAGCAAATATTTCATTTATCTGCCTTCCCTAACATAGATATTTCAAAAAAGATAATTATTTTCTAACTGTAACATTGCTTTTGAGTCATATATTTTTAAAATTTGAGTTTTGCTAAAGTGCTCATCTTATATGTAGCGTCTACACCACTTAAGAACTCTTTCCAAGGAACTATCCAAAAGGAAGATGTCTGAGCAACTAAAAAAGACAAGCTTGAAATTTCTAAGAGTTTCCACCCAGGTGACATTGTCTTGGCCGAAGTGATACCTAGGTAATGCACTGTCCAATTACCTGCTGACCACTGCTGAAAATGAGCTTGGAGTGGTGGTGGCCAACAGTGAATCAGATGTCCAGACAGTTCCCATTAGCTGGTATGAGATGCAGTGCCTGAAGACCCACACAAAAGAATTCCAGAAAGTGGCCCAAGTACATCCTAATTCTTGCAGACCTAAGAAACCATATTTTACTGCAGGGAGGGTAGTAAGCTATTTCCAAAAGTACATGTATAAAAATTACATTGGGATACCATGGTCTTTATTCAGATGTCAAGGATTAGCCGACAACCACCACTAGAAAAATCTGCCAGTAATTTACTCTATAAATAGACCATTATTCTTGTGAACCTTTTAGTAAATTTCATCCTCCTGAATGATGAAACTTCTCTTCTAGAGACACCAGCAAACAAAACTATAATGTTGGAAATATCCTATTCCTTCTGACAGTCATTAGAAATAATGTATTTTTTTGCTGTGACAACATTTTTTACATCCAGGCATGATAGCACATACCTGTAATCCAGCATTCAGGAGGCTAAAGCAGGAAGATTGTTATGAGTTCAAGACCAGCCTGGGTTATGTTTGCAGTTCAAGGCCAGCCTGAACTACATATTGAGACCCTGTCTCAAAAACAATTAGGCCAGGCATGGTGGCATGTACCTCTAGTCCCAGAACACATTAGGCTGAGACCAGAGGATCTCTACAAGTTTAAGGTCAGCCTTGGTTACATAGTGAATTCAAGGGTAACCTGAACCATATATAGCAAAATCCTGCCTCAAAACAACAACAACAAAAACAAAAAGCCAAAACCAAAAATTTTACTAAGAGAAAAGGATTTTTTTTAGCCAATTCATTTTACTAGTTCCATTATTGATTTTTTGTTCTCATTGAGTTTATTGGTACATTTTAGGTATACAGTACAGTTACATTCATCATTGGGATCTTTACATGTAGGTCTTGGTTCTCATTTTTTCCCCATACCACTCCCCTCCCTTCACCCCCTCCTCCCCTATTTACAAACACTTTATTTCCATTTTTTCATTTTCTGATATTTTTTTCTTTTCCCTTATTTCCTTGCCCCTACTCTTCCTACTTCCCCTACACCTTTAGCCCTTTTCTTTCTATTTCACATTGTCAGTTATACCATTAGGATCTTATTTACGATTATAGTTTTTCACACCAGAGAAACTATTTGGTATTTACACATTTGTGTCATGACTTTTAGAGCAGTGGTTTGTTCTCTTTGTTAACTGCTGTCTATCAACTGCCATTCATCAGCTGCCTGCTTGCTCTAGACAAAACCTGATTGCCAGTTTCTTGTATTTTTGTGTTCTCAGTAGTTTAACATTCTAGGTGTCAAAGCCCTGGGGCAGGTACTTTGTGTGGTTTAGTGGATTACAAGACAAACCTGGTAATCCAGGTAGCATGTGAGTAGTTCTAAAAGTGCTTAGTAAACAAAATATTATTGACATAGTGGGAAATATTTGCTACATCTGGATTGAAAAGAGGGACAGAGCACTATCAGGTGAGGTGGCCAGGGAATGAGTTGTGACATGATGTCAGAAGGAACTGAAGAGCTTGAATAAGTGAAGTGAAGATTCTCCAGGCAAAGAGAAGCCCTAGCACAGTGCTGAATTAGTAATGGCATTGTAAGTTCGGGGATGAGGAGAGAAGAGGAAGAAAAACTGCAGAAAGCATAGGAAGGAAAGATAAATATGAAATGGCTCCTTTAAAATTTTTTATCTGCCTCATAATCACAAGGACCTGAGTTCAATCCCCGATACCAAAAAAAAGTTATTTATTTATTTATTTATCAGGGAGAGGTAAGGGACTAAAACTAAGGATTAAACCTAGGGTCTCTACACTGAGCTACATCCCCACCCATTTTTTATTTTGAGACAGATTCTTGCCAAGTTGCTAATTGACTCAGGCTAGACTTGAACGTGTGGAT